TGCATCGAGGACGCCCGCCTGGCAGAAGCAGGGCTATGAGGGGCAGAACCAGCGCTAGATATTGGCACCTCATCTAGCGGGTCAGGGCTGGGCAAACGGCTTCGTATTCCTGCCACCATGGAAGTTTGCCGAGGTGGTAAAGAGCCCAAAGCATTGAGAGAAGCGCCCTGCGATTCCACGCCCTCTTCCAAGATCAGGGAAGGGGGTGAAGTGGGGATGGATGTGACTGGGCAAAGGCGATCTCCCCCCTTAGTCGCCTTATCTTTCCTTGTCCTCATGGGCGGCTTGTCTTTCTTTCTTTTAGAGGACTCTGCAGCCGAGGATTTCACCGCCCTGGAAGATGACTTAGGGGTGGGAGTGTCCCTAGACGTGCCGGGAGCGGAGGTTTCTAACACATCGACCGGTGGTAAGGCTGCTCTCGAAGTCGATGACGACGGGTTTTTTTTGTCAATCTCCAGGACTTGGAGGGAGGCTGGGCAGGGAGGGACTTGGTTAATTCATTAGCTCGAGAAGCTACAGAGTGAGGTGGGGACGTCTCCATAGCACTAGGCTGAGTGGCGGAAAGGGTAGCGTCCCAAAGAAAAAGCCTTAACCTTTGCTGGCGCGCTCTAAGCGTCACTCTCGTAAATTTCTTGCAGACCTTGCAAGATTGGGGCAAATGCCCCTTCCCCAGACAAAACAAACACAGCTCGTGGTCATCTGAAAAGGGTAGTTTGTGACTACGGGAGGTGCACTTTCTAAAGGGGCCTGAGGGGGACATAAATCGAACCACGGGGGTGGGGGGGAGAACTCACAGTGCCAGTCCAAATCAGTGAGCCAAAGAGGAAAGTAAACAGTCCGAAGTCTAACAGCCTGAGGTCCAAAACAGTAGCAAGGGCAAAGCGAAAACGTGGCCGATAGGGAAACTGAGGTCAGCCAAAAAAGCAGAAAAGTAAAAGCGTAGTCCAGCGACGATCTGGGTCCAAGGGGCAACAGAGAAGTAGAGTAGTCAAAACAAGCCAAAGAACGACGATAAACAGCAAGAGCTCCAGCAGGTAGTTCCAATCACAAAGGCGGTAAAATGGAACTGAGGATTCGGGTGGGCGGAGCATGCACTGTAGGGGCAACTCTTAATTATTCTGTTTTTTTCCTAAGCTCTAGAATGTTCCGGAGAGTGCGACGCAGGCGCGGACTTCACCCTTTCATGTGCATTCACAGAGGCCACGACAAAGAACAAAGGCTTCTGCTAAGTATTACTGACATTTGAAGATATAGGTCCAAATTCACAGGCTATAACCACTCTTATCAATTCCTTCCTTATTCCCTTGTACCCACACCCCAACCCTTACCCTTATTGAAAATGAATAAAAACCCTTAAGGAAAGAACAAGATCTGTTGAACTGTCCCTGAACTTGGTTTCTCAGTGTCCTACTGGATTACAAAGGGCTTTAAGAGTTCCTGCATGAAGATTATGTGATCTGTAATCAATTCTACCAGGTTACCCTTAAACAAGTGGTCAGTTGTCATTGCAATCATTGCAATTAACTGCACAAACATCTCATTCTCCTTCCTGGGCTTCTGCAGCAATACCTAGCTTTTCTTTTGGCCACATGGCTTTAAGGGATTACTGACTAAATATAGATAAAATATTTTATTATAAATGGAGACTAATAGCCAATATAATGGTCAATCTTGGATGAAGATTGTTCGAGTTGCTATCAAAGGACAGAGGCCTTGGTTAACTTTTCCCCTTCTTGGACAGGTGGTGCCAGCTGGCAATTCCAGAAGAAACTCATCTTTTAGATCCATTACAATTTTGTTTCAGCCCTGGTATGGGGACAGACATTATATTAGTCATCCTGTAGTATTACTTTTAAGAGAGGAGAACCATGTGAGACCATGTTGATTTCCTCAGAACCTTCAGCTATTCTTGGTATCTTTGACCATGACATTCTTCTGGGGCATTAGCTAGGATGCATTTTGGCTGGATTGTTTTGCAATAGTTCTGTTGCTGTTTCTATGATTGATTCCAGAAGGTGGTACTAGGAAATTACTGTTCACCTGGGCATTTCTGCTCTGTGGTCTTGCATGGTTCATTCTGACTCTAATGATGTTCAATATCTGCTAGAAACCACTACATGAGGTCACCAAGGAAGTGTCAGCAATATGTAGATAATATCCAGCACTTTTTCTCTTTATTATTGAACCCAGCAGAAATAATGGTTCGGCAACACCAGTACCTGGGTGCAGAAATGGATTGGTTGCGGTCTCCAAAAGGACAGATTCTGCAATTCTGAGATTGCTTCTTAATTCAGAATTCTCAGCGGAGGTATAAGAGCCCTCTCTGGCTGAGATCAAGATTTATTGTCTTAGTTTAATATTTCAGCTGCAACCCTATCTGTACAGACAACTGCTGGTCCATGCTCTCCAGTAAACTTCCACTTGGATTACTACAATGTGCTGCTGATATGGCCGCTCTGGGGACAGGGGGAGATGTCTGGAAACTTAGTTAGTCCAGAATATGGCTATTAAATGGGATGGTTTTCTCATCAGTGTTGGCTTCTAAGTCCCATTCTGAGACCAAATCAAAGTCCGAGACATGACCTTTCAAGTTCTCGGACCAGTTTAACTGAAAGATTACTTATTTCTATATGCAACTACCCAGAAATCAATATAATCTTCAAAGGCCCCTTTTTGGGGTGCCCCTGTCTAGTAAGATGCAGCAGAGCTACTAAGAACTGAGCATTTCTGGTGGTAGCAGGATAGGATTAGAAAGTTCTTACCAATAAGTCTTGCTTGACACCTACTTTATGGCCATTGTGCCGCCTTTTTAGGCTTTTAGAGACCAAGTAAAATAAACAAACTCAAGAGTGGAAATGTTGAGAATCACTTAAAGTATTCGCGAAGGCTTTCACGGCCGGGATCTAATGGTTGTTGTGGGTTTTTCAGGCTCTTTGGCCATGTTCTCAAAGTTGTTCTTCCTAATGTTTCACCAGTCTCTGTGGCCAGCAACTTCAGAGGACAGCACTCTGTGCTCTGGTGCAATTTGTTTGGGAGTTGAGTATTTATGGCTGTGAGATCAGCTTTTGTCCTTTTCAGGAGATAGTGATTATGGTGATCAGTGTGTCTTTGTTGTGGGTGTATTGGTATGATGGGAGGAGAGATTATCTGTCACTGTGATTGATGGGTGTCAGCTGGTATATTGTGTGTAGTAATCACCAGTCCTTGTGGCTGGGTAGAGTTCATTGACCTTTTGCATGCTGGGTTTTTCAGTGCTGGGAGCCAAGTTTTGCTGAGTTTCAAACTTTCTTCTTTCTTGTTGAAGTTCTGCTGATGTTTGTGGACTTCAATGGCTTTCCTGTGCAGTCTAATGTAGTGATTGCTGGTGTTCTCCAGTATTTCAGTATTTTGAAATAGAATTTCATGTCCAACTTGTTTTAGGGCATGTTCAGCTACTGCCGTTTTTTTTGCTGTTGTTTTAGTCTGCAGTGTCTCTCGTGTTCTTTGATTCTGGTGTGGATACTTCATTTTGTGGTTCCAATATATACCTGGCCACAATTGCAAGGTATCCACTATACTCCTGCAGTGGTGAGGGGGTCCCTTCTGACCGTAACATTTGTTGTATTTTTGTGGTGGGCTTGAATACTGTTTGTAGGTTGTGTTTTTCAAAAGTTTCCCCATGCGGTCCGTGACCCCTTTGATGTATAGCAGAAATGCCTTATTTGTGGGTGGCTGTTTTTCTTCTTCAGTTTGGTGTTGTTTTCTTGGTTTGATGGCTCTTGTGATTTCATTTTTGGAGTAGCCATTTGCCAGTAGGGCCCAATTCAGATGGTTGAGTTCAGTGCTGAGAAACTGAGCTTCACTTAAAGCATCTTCTCCACTTTACACATCAACAATTTCCAGGGATCTTAAGTTAGAAAGCATTATAACTAAGCAAGTTAAAAATTAGGTTCAATTTGTAGTAGTTAAAATGTAGTGTTCAATATCAGGACTGAAGAGAGTTTTTCACTAAAAATTATGATCCAATGCAGAAATAATAAAGGAAAGTTCTCAGCTTTCATCCAAAAGTCAAATAGATAGTTCCAGTCCTTTTCTGCCCTTGCTGTTACAGCAGGAATAAAATAAGATGTTGTTGGACTGCAACTCCTATCAGCTCTAGCCAACACAGCTAATGGGGATGGGAGTTGTACTCTGACAATATCTGAAGGACCATATACTTTCCACCATTTAAGCAAGAAAACATGTAGACTCACCAATGGAACTGTCTGGGTGGGTTTCCTACTTAAGTCTAGTTGCTCCTTTTTCAAAGGATACCAAAGGCCTTTCTTTGCCCTAAGCACAAATTCATATTTATTGTGTCTAATCATACTCAGTTTTACATAAAGCTCTGCCATGCTGACAGTAACAAAGCTCAGCAGGGAAGTATAAGCCATTTCTCTTACCTACTCCTGCCCCTATCCACTCAAGTTTGCTAAAAGGCTTTATCTGCTTTAATCTCAGAACACTGAGAAATACTTTTCTCACCTTTAAACTGAAACACAGTGTTGCAAATCAAGTTATTGTTTTCTATAAAACTGCAAACTTAAGTTACACACCCTTGTCCTTCATTTCCAAAAGAAAACTGAGAGATAAAAGACAAAGCAGACAACTATCACCTAACATAATACCTTAGTATCTAAATCAGGCCTGTACCTTGTGATCCATCATACCAAATGCAGCCTACCAGGTGCTATCAACAGCCAGCAAAGACAGTAAAATTCTTGTTTTTCCTGCCTGCCTGGGACTACAAAAAAGCAATTAGTGAGCTATAATCCAAGGCTGGTGACCTGTTTTTTGCTTGATAAGCCACAAGTTGTGCAGGTGTCCTCTAATGCAACACAGCTCTTAGGCTGATTTTAGAAAAGCAAAGGAAGAGCTGAATAAAAGGCCTTCCACTAGACAGTGCTATTGGCTCAAAGAAGGGAGAAAGTTTAAAAATCAGTATACAAAGAAATATCTCCAAGAGCGAATGCAATGTGTACCTGCCAGAGCTTTGATGCGGGATCTCTCGAAGAGCCTGGCAGAACTGTTGTCATTGTCCAGCTCATCATCAGAGGCATCCCAGCGAGCATTGATCCGGCTGTACTGCTGCTGAATCTCCAAATGGTCAAAATCAGTAGCTGATGTCATGTTCTGGGAGTTTTGCTGCTGTTCTTGCTTTAGATGACATATAAAGGACCCTGAAGGGAAGTAAACCAAAGTATTATCTCTTCTATAAAAGCAGGTCTACTAACAAAGTGTGTGTACATGCACATAGACATGACCAAGAGCAAGTAATCCTAAAACAATACAAAGATTCCGCCAGCCACAACTGTCATTCATATGTTTTTCTAATTCCTGGCTCTTGCATGTTATGAAATACTGCAGCAGTCAGCACCAGGTGGTGAATGCATCAAAATTAACTGTGCCCAGTAGGTGGGGATATAACTTACAGGAAGATTACCGTACATTTCCCTTAGCAAAGTTTGCCTTTCTTTGGAGCTTTCAGGCAGCTGAGAAGTAATGTAAGGTGAGTCTCAGAGGTAAGAAGCATAAAATATGCTATCCAGAAATGAAATTAAACTATGTGGTGAAACTAACCAAAGACCAGGAGGGTTAACTGAATTTTCAATCATGCTACTAAAGTGAGCACAGATAAACAAATCAAGATGCAAAGTCCTATTCTGACCATAGTTGCAAGAATGATGAGATTCTCCCTACCATCACCAGAAATATTCAATCTCTGGCATAGAATTTAAGTTACTTTTCGGTAGACTTCATTATAAACATGCATAGCATTATGGAACACTTTTGTTGCATTAAAAGATGCAGAGACCCCTGACACAGGGCAGCAGACACTGCCATTGTCAAAAGAAGAAAGATAATAAGCACAATGAAGAAGAGTGAAAGAAGCCAAAGGAAGTGTGCAATACTGGGATCTTCCCTGCTCCTGAACATTCATGCTTTCTCTCTTTTTTGAGGAGGTGTCAAGTCATGTATGAATCATGACAACCATTGACTTTTCAATAAAGCAGCAAGTTAGAATTAACTAACAGAGTGGCTGATATCCAGTAGTAAGTCACAATAAGAATAAGCACATTAAATTACTAGAATTTACAGAAGATTCACCAAATCCTCATTAATTCAATCAACCTACTCTAGTTTCACATGTACAGCTTCACAGCAGATCACTTCACACTCTTCCTGTAGTTGTACCCTAAAACACATTACACATAAAAAGATGTTTGACAATGAGCAATAGTTACGGACTTCTAGACTCCCTCCTTTTTTCAGGGACTGGATCACTATCTACTTCTAGGATGCTGGCATTACACTCAAACAGAGGCACTATCTGAAAGGTACATGCAAAAAATACCTGCTTTAAAACTCTGACCAGCTGAGATGGGCAAAATGTTCCTGATTATATATTTCCAATTGAACTGAAAAGTTCTGAGGGAAAAGACATCCACGATACATAAATCCTCTTCATAGCAGCTCATATTATAGGGATAACAAGGGCACACATGGAACAGATCTAGGGATTCTGATATCCTGTAACAGCGGAGCTGCAACTGAGCTATCCTTGCAGTACAATACACAATACCTTTCTAAGTATAGGATGGCTTTGCTCAGTGGAACTTGGAATGATTGATACCATGAACAATACTGGATCAGAGTAGCAGGTAGCAGTGGAAATAAAGACAAGCCCTATTTGCTACACAAGAAGCAGGGATAACCATGAGAGAAAATTCAAAATCAACATTAAGGTAATATCCTAACTAGGTCATCTAAAATAGTCTGACGTCTGTGCATTAGGTAAGATGAAAAAAGTTGGGACGGGGGTCCAGAAAGGAAGAAGAAGAAAAGAAAACCTGACAATTTTGAAGTTGTCTGCATGATGTCTTGAGATGTAATGGGGGGGGAGATCTGAAGACATTCAAATGAAGCTCTATTAGATGATGTACATAACAGTTATCAGATTTCACTTGGAGCAGACCTCACACATATTAAAGGTAAAGGTAAATGTTCCCCTTGACAATTTTTTTGTCCAGTCGTGTTCGACTCTAGGGGGTGGTGCTCATCCCCATTTCCAAGCCACAGAGCCAGCGTTTTGTCCAAAGACAATCTTCCATGGTCAAATGGCCAGTGCGACTTAGTCACAGAACGCTGCTACCTTCCCACCGAGCTGGTCCCTATTAATCTACTTGCATTTACATGCTTTCGAACCGCTAGGTTGGCGGGAGCTGGGACAAGTGACGGGCGCTCACTCCGTCGCATGGATTCGATCTTATGACTGCTGGTCTTCTGACCCTGCAGCACAGGCTTCTGCGGTTTAGCCCGCAGCGCCACCACGTCCCTTCACACATATTAGGGGTACAGAAAACAGTAGTGTTCCATTTTTTAAAAAAATATTCCATCTTCCAGTCTAGGTCTGTCCCATCATTTGCTGGATATCTGGGTAGCATACAAACAAATGAGGAAACTTAATCTCACAGGAAAGCCAAAGAAGACTTTTTCCTGCTCAGTTTGGAATGTGTATTTTGCTGAAAATGCAGTTGCACCTGGAGGACTTCTTGGTTATGCTGTCAGCAATCACCAATCAGATGAGCACTTACTAAATTGTTTGAGTCACTAAATCCTTATTAACAGCTTAAACAGACTCTTTGCCATGATTCTGTGTTTAGCTCTCCTGGGCCAATAAGTCTGCTAAGAATCTGATCAATTACATGTTGGTTCCTGTTTTCTGCAAAGGCCCCTGCTAGAAGCAGTATATCTTAAAAAGGTCAGTCCAGGGAATGTGAAGCACTCCTAACTCTCTTTGAAATGAATTAAGAAAATAATACTAACCTTTCACTTTATGCTCAGAATATACTAATTGCAGTGACAATTAGTATTATGCACATCTAACTAACTGGACCAATTAGTCATGGTTAGAAATCAGCCAATCACATTTTTGTTTTATGCCCTTCTTTGCATCAATATACAAATGTGTAATTAATGCCAAGACAACAACAATAATGGCTGGAATCCAGTGGTAGGTTGCAACTAGAGTAGGTCCACTGCAACTTACTACTGGATTTCAGCCATCAAGGAAAAAAACAGTATTTCAGTAGCAAGTAGTTGTACTGTAATAGTAATGCTGGTTTAAAAATCTTTCCAGTAAAGAAGACTCAGATGAAGGAGGAGTAAATTTGAATACAGTAGGAATGAAATTTTGTGGTAGAAAATATCAATAATTTAAAATATTCAGATGATACCATATTAGTGGTAAAAAGCAGAAGTGACTTGAAACAACTCTTAAGTAAAAGAAAAAAATGTGAAAGCACAACTGCAGCTGAATATTAAGACAAAAACCACAACTACAGGAGTACTTTAATGTTGACAATGAAATGTTGTCAATGTTAATTGTCAACTTTAATGTTGACAATTAACATTTTTAAAGACTTTATATAGTTCAATTATCAATCCAAATGGAGACTGGAACCATGATTCAGAAGAAGACTGAGACTCAGGCAGGCACCTATGAAGAAGCAGAAAAGATCTTCAAGATCCTCAAGTGTGAGGATGTGTCGCTGGAGACCACAGTAAAGAAAATCTATACTGTTGTATTCACTTTTACAATGAATGAAAGTGGAAGTTGTACAGTAAGGAAAGCCAGCAGCAAAAATCTGACTCATGTGAAATGTGGTGTTGGAGAGAGCTTTGCCAATATCTTGGACCACCAGAAAGACAAATAAGCAGGGTGCTACATCAAATCAAGTCTGAACTCTCCCTAAAAGCAAAGAATGACTAAACTAAGGCTATTGTATTTTGGGTCCATCATAAGAACACAAGACTCCATGGAAAACACATTCATATTGATGAGAGCTGAAGCAAACAGAAAATGTATAAGGCCAAATGAGGGATGGACTGATTAAAGGAAGACACAGTCTTGAGACCACAAGAGTTGAGCAAGGCTGTGACAATAGGATTTTCTAGAGATCACTAATTCATAGTGTCACTATACTGGGTGCAACTTGATGACACATAACAAGAAAGAGGATTCAGTGTAGGATTGTAAACCAAACAGTTGGACAAGGATACCAGAACAGCAGGGCAGAGGGGCTTCAGTCTCCCCCCACCCACCCCCACTAAGACTAGGCTGAATTTCCCTTGAAATAATCATGCAGCATTGAACTAAGACTCTGTGTAGGTGAGCCTCTGAAGTCCTCAAGATGGAGGAAAGAGAGAGCCTTTATCAGAAAATTGCCACTTTCAGTTATAGCCATTATGTACGTATTATTTTAAGATGTATTATTTATTTAGTTCATTAAATAAGCGGATGTTTAAAAAAATCATCTTGCAGACAGGTAGAATTAACAGCCTACCTATCAGTTTTAAGCAACCTCAAGGCTTGAGCCACCACCTAAAAACAGTTTTGGGATCTCTGTTGTTACTTTAGGAATGCATCAGGGTAGAAAAGAATAGGTAAGTTTTGAGACTTTCCCCTACATTTTCTTCTTTCTGCTCTCATTCTACTTTCAAAGTCTGATGCTTGCTCCTTGTAGCTCCTTTCTGTTTACATGGCCTACATGAGTGACATGCATGTATTCTCTGGTACTCCCAGGTGAAACAAACAATTGTGAGGAAAGCTTTGTCTTTTCACCAATACTACTCAAGCTTTTTGTATTTAATTTTTAATACTATTATTAGATGCACCAGTGCTACTGTGAATATGCAAAACAATTTGAAGAGAAGACATGCTAATGAAATAGGCTTAGGTTTTCTTCAACTTTTTCAGTTTCTTTCAGCACCATGAGTGGGGAAACCATTAAAGGAACCACCACAAAGTGAGCAAACATATGGAAATTTATATGGATGAAATTGACAGTTTTCTTCCAACTATGTTTGTTTCAGTCAAGGGGACAGAAAGAAAATGAAAGAGATTGTACTAGCACATTGTAAAAGGAGAAATATGTATAACAAATGCACAAATAAAAAAAGAACTGAACAAAAGAGAAGGACATTTTTACAATTACTAAAAAAGATACTTCTGCACAGGAATGAGAAGGTAAAATGGCTTTCCCAAATGCAGTACATTCTATGAAAAAAAAATTAAATTTCTCTTTCACAAGTTCATAACAACCACCAGAAAAAGGCTTAAAAGGATTCTAAGTAGATGATGTAATGTGTCTGACAATCACTTCCATACTTCACAGAT